TTGAGTTTTTTGTGTTGAATTGCAATTTTTTCTAGAATATTAATATATCGTAGATGTGAAATTGATAAATTGGTATGCAACGTATACCTGCTAATATCGGCACAGAAATTCAAAGGTAATTAACTTCACGTATACAAATGTGGAGCGTCGGTGGCTCAGTGGTCAAGCACTTGACTTGCAATCTGCAGGTTCTCGGTTCGAATCCCGCCATGTACCAATGTGTTTTTCGATTTCCGATTTACATATGTACATTTTTCCGACGTTCTTACGGTGAAGGAAAACATCGTGATGCAACCTGAGAAGAATTTCAAAGATATGTGTGAAGTCAACCAACCCGCACTTGGCCAGCGTGGTTGACTATGGTCTAATCACCCTTAACTTAGGTTAGGCTCCAATCCCCTCGGTGGGGACGTATAGTGAGCTGATGATGATAATGATGATGAAACAAATGTGAATGACTATAGGCTAGTCACCACTAAGTTGAAGAGGGTCTGACCCCCTTGATGGGGATAGATGTATTAATATTGCCTTATGCACAAAGGGAGTTATCTATCTTCGATATTAACTCCAAGTATATCGTAACATAAGGTTGGGATACAACAAATTGAGTGTCCCCATTCACGCCCAGCTTTATGACGTCATAATACAAGAGACAGTGACAATACGCCTTACTGCTGCTATATTTTATTGCCGGTTTGTCTTTAGGGATTTATTCACCCTAATAAATAATACTTATAACTATATTGATAGGTTTGTACTAATACTTGTTTATGAATATCTTATATTTATCGTAAACTATCAACTTGCCTTGACTTCTCTCGGATAAAAGTTACTCACCGTGTTATTTCTGTTAGCGATGTAAATATGGGAATCTAGTAGTTTTTGAGTTGAACACATTGAATGTGACAGATTGGAATTTATTTAAGAGGCATTTTTTATTTTATGTCATTACCTAAAAAGGAATTTTAACAATACTTAGGAATGCTTTAAGTAGGCTATATCGTACGGCAAAATTTTTTTTTCAAACATCAAGTTCTAATAGCCTTATACTGTTACTGTCTTGAAACTGTCAACTCCAACTGCTTAAAACAGTCCATGTATATTTAAATACGAGCTAAAATGTTTCTTATAGTAAATGTTATAAATATTTGAAGGTTTAATACAAGACAGGTCGACCTTCCAGTCCCTTCTGTTCGTTTCGTAACTTAACCTTTTCTTTACAATAAACTGCATCTCAGCGTAGACTAACAAAGGCTTGAAGTGCTATTGTATGTGACGTCACACTTTCGGCAGTTCGCTAAAAGATCAATGTCGATAAGCCGACATTAAAAAGATCATGAACACTTCATAAAAAAAGCTGTGCATTATTTTAACAGATTATACGCAAATTTGATATAGCCAAAATGTTATCCATTGTTTTGATTTTATAAAACGGAAGTTGTTAATAAGTTAAAAAATACAACAGAAAACTGATATAAAAATTTGGGCCATGTTCGCGTTATATCCCATAATTCTCGCTTTTACGACTCGTAAAACGGGACTTTGGTGGGTAAATTTTATTCCTTAATTAGGTTACATTTCTATTTTACAGGCGACTCTAAACTGAGAGAGAGATATGAATTCTTAAATTTCAATCGTCTAATGAGTTTCTAAAATATAAACCTTACATTTTTGAAATTTTTTTATCTATATAAATATGAATAGATAATTTGTTTATCATTATTATTTTACATTTATTTAAATATAATTATAATTAATAATTTTTAAGTACATTAAATAAAATAATTTAACATCTACTTTATTTTCACTGATTTTTTTTGTAATTTATTCGGGAATTTCAACGCTAAGTATTTTATTTCTGTTTGTTCAAAGATTGTGAAATCACAATAGTATATTTTAACATGTATTGCGATAGTGAAAAACAACGCTAATAAACTCACATGTTCATCAAACAAAATTTTCATAAGTTTTCTTATCAAGCATCATCAAGCATCGATTTTTTCATTTGGAAGATACCATCTCAGTGAGAAAGCGCACACAATGGCATAAGAAAAAGTCCCATAAAATCATGTCGAGTTAACTCGGTCTTAGGTGAACCACGTGTCACGTTGGATATATAAACTAAATTTGGATAAATATCTTCTATATTGGATATTTCTTGTGTGAAGCCAAATTACAACATATTGCTTATAAAAAGATGTTCTGTGAGAGAAAAGCACAGATCGGGAGGTGTTTCTTTATGTCTTAAAATTTTGCTCATCCGCGCGGAATTAAAAAAAATTGATGAGTACTCTATGTGTTCTTCCAGACTATGTTCTATCATCATCATCAGCTCACTATACGTCCCCACCGAGGGGCTCGGAGCCTACCCTAAGTTAAGGGTGATTAGGCCATAGTCAACCACGCTGGCCAAGTGCGGGTTGGTTGACTTCACACATATCTTTGAATTACTTCTCAGATATGTGCAGGTTGCATCACGATGTTTTCCTTCACCGTAAGAACGTCGGATAAATGTACATATGTAATTCGTAAAATCGAAAAACACATTGGTACATGGCGGGATTCGAACCCAGGACCTGCAGATTGCAAATCAAGTGCTTGACCACTGAGCCACCGACGCTCTACGCTATGTTCTATATGTTTGCCAAATTTCATCTAGATCCGTTTAGCCGTTCTGGAGATACCTTGAAACAAACATCCATCCATCCATCCATCCATCCATCCATTTAAATATTCGTATTTAGAATATTATAATACTAGGAGGAAGAAGTACACATACATATTTATATGCCGCATATATACTATGTTAAACATAGTTTGATATTCATATAAACAGGTATACGAGTGTAACTCAATTGAGCACAAACTCGAGATCGCAGTGGAAATAAAAATGTACGTTGAATTTTATATCTCGATATATAATCTTGAAATAGACGTCATGTGAACGATTGGGTCTGCCCTTGTGTGTATCGGTGAACAGTGCATTCCGGCCTTGACACGGCCTTCACCCCGCCCCCCGCTACACCCCGCATCCACCCCGCGACCCTGCACTATGCATGTAATACGGACATTTCTATAAATTGTTCGAATCAATCTAACTACACTAGTTTGAGACGTAATCTTATTTGTATTTTTATCTTAGATTGTATTGTTTTTCTTTTTCTTTCTGTTTTGTAATATTAGTACGTGAGATACACCAAATCGCTCGTTCATGAACCAGGAGACTCCTTCATATATTGCACTTTTAATACCTTAATAAAGAAATTTGAATTTGAATCTTTTTCTAGCCTTAAACAATATTAAAAGATGATATGATACAATACAATAATATCTTAACCAATATTACTATGCGTAAGTCGCTACTAAAATCTCCGGGTCCCCAAGATTTATGTTGCTTTGTGTACGATAAGCCTTATAGTCTTTTTAAAAAGGGTAGATACGTACATTAAAGGCCGAAAATGTGTCCATAATTCTTTTGATGCTGTGAATGTTCATCAGTTACGCTACACAATACTACAAAAGGAGAAGGAAATTATGACAAATGCATTTCTAAGTGAAAGAAAAATTTAAATATTTATAAAGAGTTTGAATATTATTAAGCATTTTTAACCATTATTTATACGTAAAACTTTTTTAACATCAAGTGCTTTTTCAAACTTTAGTGCGGTATTGTAGTTTACATTCAAATTAAAGTAAAGATTCCTAAAACTTCTCATTTGGAGAGTTTTATTTTTCGAAACTTCGGTAGCCTTTGACGTTTTAAATCGTGTTTTAAAGAACTCGTTAAGAAAATCTGTTCTTAGCTTTTAAATGTAATTGAAAATGTTTAATAGAAATGCTTATATGAGAAAGTATTTAATTTTTATTATACTTCAAGGGATTAATTTAACTTTAAGTGATTACTATGTTGAAGATATTGCAATTCGGAGTAACACCAACTTAGATTTATTGTTCAACCAGTTGACTTAGATGGCAGGTCATTAAACTTTTTGGAATCGATATTCATAAAAGCGTGCGTAAAAAGTTGTTTAGGTGGTCTATCAATTAAAGGCAAGACAATCTTACCACAAGGGAAATATCACAGACGTGTTAGTGTCAAAGTCAAATGAGTGACCTTCATTTATACAAGTTTCTCACATTAGCATTGTTTCCTAAACACTGTTTTCGTGAAGTTGGAAATGAATTATGTATGAAAAAAGTTATACATTCTTTACCGTCTAATCACAGATAATTTTAGGTCTAGAACAGTCTTTCCCAAAGTGGGCGATAACGCCCCCTTGTGGGCGCTGCAGATCTCAAGTTGCGGGTTATAGTAAAAGTTTCGTTTAGAATTCTCTGTTAATATACATATATAGGTCACAATAATTAATTAATTTAATATGAAGTTACAGTGGTTTTTAAATATGTGAAAATATGGGGGGGCTAAAAAAATATTTATTCTCAAAGTGGGCAGTAGACAAAATAAGTTTGGGAACCACTGGGCGAGAATGTGAAAAGACCAGCCACTTTACACTGGATAAACATTTTTATAGTTAAGATCATATTATAAATACTGATTGCATTTTTTTTAGAATAAATATAATAATTGCAAAAATTAATTTCTTAAAATTTATCTTTGTGAATGTTCTTTCGTAAACTTCTATTTTTCAGTCTATCTTATACTGAAATATGAATCGTGGCAAGATTTAAATAACTGTTTGTATTATTTACTATAGTAATGCTTTTTCATTTGTTTCAGGTGCAAGTAATGCGGAGTTCCCGGCGTGGTAAGTCAAAAAGACTAAAATTAACTCTTAATTGAATTAAGATTTGAATTTTAAACATTGTTTTTAATGATAAAGTAAATTTAATAAAGATTTGTTCCAGATTATTATCAAAATTATACATAAATAAAATATAAAATTTTACAAAAAATGAAATGAACACAAACATATCAGAGGCAAAGCTCTCAGCTATATTAAATGATATATTATTGAAAATGAAAATGTATATGAGCGGGCATATCAAAAAGCGTTAACATACGGTCAATGGATTTCTCATGGAGCGTGTTCAGATGAATCAGTCTTTGCCGGGCAAGTATCACCGAGCTGAGGCATCGTACAAAAGCTGTTCGCAATCTCTGCCGCTAGACATATTGTAAGTATATTTAATTTTATTTACTGTCATTATATAAAACGGTCAGTAAATAAGCAATAAATAAATATTCTGGACTATATATGTAATTGAAAGAAATCTCTTCAAACAATAATAACACAGCATAAGGATGGGGCACAATTAAAATAATATATAATATTAAACTTTGACACTAATAGAATATTAAACAACTTGATTCTGAGTAAATCTCTCAATAGACTCTTCATCACCATCACTATAGTCCCCACCGAGGGGCTCGGAGCCTAGCCTAAGTGAAGAGTGATTAGGCCATTGTCAACCACGCTGGCCAAGTGCGGATTGGTTGACTTCGCACATATCTTTGAATTTCTTCTCAGATATATGCTGGTTTCATCACGATGTTTTCCTTCACCGTAAGAACGTCGGATAAATGTACATATGTAAATCGGAAATCGAAAAAACATATCGGTACATGGCGGGATTCAAACTCAGGATCTGCAGATTGCAAGTCAAGTGCTTAAACCCCTAAGCCACCGACGCAATATTAGCTAAACGCTAATATTTTCAAAAAAATCTCGTAAAATGGTAAATTAATTTGAGGTAAATTAAGTAATACAAAATGTTAGATTGGAGTGAATCGTGAATATATATTTTATTTTTCACGTAGTTTTTGATGAGAGTAATTTTCTTTTCATAACCATAATTGTATGTTGGTTAAGTTTTGTCGTTTGCACATAATTTTTTCCATACCTTCCCCTTACGGTGTGAAATATGATTACTTTCGCGGCTGCTTATTACTTTGATTGCTTTCTAATCTGATTCCGATACGCAAATTCGTATAGTTTGAGCTAATTTTATTATTATTTTTAACAATTGTTATTTGTTACATTGTTTTTGTAGTTTACGTGTATTCCGCTCCGTATTTTATCTTGCATATTTTACGAAATTTGTGAATAATGTTGTTTTTATTTTATTTAAAAAATGTATTGAATTTCATAAAAAAATGCAATAATTACTACTATTAGTAATTATTACTACTTTAATTTCATATTTGTAAGGCATAATAATATTAGCTTTCGGTATCGAATGCTTACAATATTTCGAAATTACATTTCATAAAGCAAACACTAATATCAATCCAATCGAACTAAACAAATACAATTGCGAAGACCAATTGAGAATTGCTTGCGTTTCACAAACAACCGAAATATCAAAATTAATTTTCAATATATCAGCTATAGCATATAATAGGTACATTGGAATGCCACGTAAAGTAACAAATTATGACAAGAGCGTTCTCTGGTGTTCATATACCTTGCGAAATATTGATAAAAATTCGATGAATGGTCGCCTAGAGAATAAGAACGAACGTTTTCGACCTAATTGCTTTGTGAGTTCAACCGTTCAAACGTTCTCGACTATACAGATGGTTGCCGCGCTCGTCGTTCCGTCCTGCGGAAGGCGAACTGGCGGACTGCGTGTTGGTGGTGGGCGTGTCGCGGCCCAAGCTCGCTGCGGCCTTACTTTCTGTCACGCTACTATCACTATTCCTGACATTCCATGTCTTGTATGACAGTGCGTTGTATAGTATACAGGTAACATTCGATTTTGTATATTTATATCATAACTAGCTGTCGTCCGCGATACCGTCTGCGTCGAATTCAATAAAACTTAATTAATAGCCCATGTGTTCTTTCAGACTAGGTTCTACATCAATACCAAATTTCATCGAAATATGTTGAGCCGTTCTAGAGATACCTTCCAATAAATATCCATCCATCTATCCTTCCACTTATCCGTCCATCTAAATATTGTCATTCATAATAGTAAGATATTAGTAAGATTGATTGCCTCCTTCGGTGTCGTTTAATATTTAAATAGGCTTTCCAGCGGTGTAGATTTCTTACAAATTAAGAAAATCCTGGTGACCTTTGGCCAGCTAATTGGTTAGCAATCATAAATAAAGACTGAGAAGAACGACTTTACTATAGTTCAGATGAAGGTGTGACTAAGTAATTAATTAGTAATTAGTTTTCTTTCTTGGTATCCTAAGACTGAATTCAAAAGATTAATTTTAAGGTTAGGTTTTTAAATATTAAAGTAATTAAATAAATTAAATATTGTTATAATATTGTATTGTTATTTCTTGTATTAATCGGGATGATGGAATATGTAACGTGAAATATAATACGTGTTCAATCAAGTATTTTAATCGATTCGCCTCAACGATACACAAAATGTTAATAACGTTGACATTCAATTAAGCATACCACATGGGGGACTTAATGCTTGTATACTTTATGCACACAAGCCTACACGAATCAATTATGTGTACACTTGAATTATTACAACGATCATTATAGGCCGATAGAATATGTATCGATTACAAGGCTACCAATGAAAATGTCATGCTATTAAGGTTCCTTTATTAAAGGCTAGGAGACAACCTTGTAATTTTCCAAGTAGCTTAAAAGTATTCTATTTTCGATGTAACCTTGTCTATGAGATTTTCAAAGGTTACATTGTAATTGTTATGAATTACGTTTTGTATTGTTTGTAATTCTTTAACGCGTGATTGATTCAAAAGAAAAACCATGCTGGTTTAATTTCGGTCAATTTTAAAAATACCCACATAGGTTAGGTTATAATCGTATGCAAAATTTTCAAATAAATATGGCCGAATGTAACATAATATAATTTAAGCAATTAGTTTTACATTGTAATCTTAATATTTGTTTTACTTACCTTGTGTAGGCAGCGAGTATGGTATCAGCGGCACATGAAAATCACAACCTTCTTGAAAATCAACAAATAAACACGCGCACTATAAATCACCCCATGTCACTGAGGAAACGACTCAAACTTCCGCGACCGCCTCGGCCTGTCCGTAGACTGCCACAGGTAATAATATCGCATAATACTTATTCTTTGCCAAACGTTTCTTTTGAATAAAGAACACAACAGCCCCAATAGCTTCGATGATCAAGCTTCTACTATTTAAAATTTTGAATTTGGAACATTAAAAGACTTTTGCTAAATGATTTAATTTTTTTTTAAAACAGAAAAAATTAACGTTTTTTTTAAGTTTAAAATTAGTTATTACTTATTAATAAATATAAATATTTTAAATATAATTATGATATGATTTGAACAATTTATTTGAACGAACCAAGTTATCCTGCGAATTAACAAATAAATTTGATAAATTTATGTGTCAACCTTCAATATTTCTATTTTATGACAGGCTTTGATAATCGGCGTACGAAAATGTGGTACAAGAGCTCTTTTGGAAATGTTGTACCTACATCCAATGGTACAAAAGGCGTCAGGAGAAGTTCACTTCTTTGACAGAGACGAAAACTACGCTCTTGGCCTCGACTGGTACAGAAGTAAAATGCCTCTTTCGTTCAAGGGCCAAATAACAATTGAAAAGAGTCCCAGTTACTTCGTTACACCGGAGGTAACTTGCCAGTTTGATTAGTTTTGTTTTTTAATATTTGTTTACCACTAATCTGTAAATAACCTTCACGATACTGGATGAAATGTACGTCAGGTGCGGTGTTCTTTGTTTTGCATGTTCATACTTAACAGCGAAAGGCTTTGTGTTAGAGCCTAGGCCCTGGACCTAGGCCTATTCTTACTAGCTCCAGGTCAACCCTAATATGCCTTTCGCAATATGTAGAGTCTTCGGTAGACTAATATGGTTTAGATTATCTCTACAACGATTTTTAACAATCTTTTTATGATAATAGGTACCAGAACGAGTGCGTGCGATGAATTCTTCGGTACGTTTGCTGTTAATCGTGCGGGAGCCAGTGACGCGTGCTATATCTGATTACACGCAGCTGAGGAGTCGCGCGACGCCGTCAGCGCCAGCTCATGCTCTTGTCGCGGGCCACACGCCGCATCAAGCCCTCGATGCTGCGAAACCATTCGAACATCTCGCTATATCACCGGATGGATCTATCAATGTAGCTTATAGGTATAGTTTTATGTTAACTTTATGGCTGCTCGCATTCGCAATAGCGATATTTCTCACTCAAAAGAGATGATTCTCACCAACCCAATAAATTGTATTTTAGGGATTGGTGAGAAGAAGTAAAGGGCATAAGCCAGCGTTGTCAGATAGCCTATTAGGTTTGAATCTTTTAATACAATTCTTTGATCAGTTGAAGCAACGCAACGGTATAAACAAAAATATTTACATAACATTAAAAAAAATCTTTTTAAATTAATTCCTAAAAAGATACAATGTCAAAGTTAAATAAGTAACATTTTATTGACTTTTCTGAATTGTTATATGTTTATAGGCCAATAGCTATATCACTGTACCATGCTTATCTGCATCGATGGCTCGAGGTGTTTCCCCGCGAACAAATCCTTGTGGTGAATGGAGATCAGCTGATCGAGGATCCAGTGCCGCAGTTACGTCGTATCGAGAAATTTCTTGGTCTTGAGCATAAAATTGGTAAGTTCATTCTCTGGTAAAGGAAATATTTGCACCGTATTTTAATTGGTAATTTAAACGTACTACTACTATAATATATAATTTAATTACTGACAAAGTTCTAAAGTCGGTTTGTGAAGAAAAATATAAGAATTTGGATAATTACTTTAAACCTAACTGCTTTTCATAGAGCAATATTAAGTTATTTTTTCATTATTGTGCATTTTATTTGTAGGTAGGAAGAATTTCTACTTCAATGAAACGAAAGGTTTTTACTGTTTACGTAATGACACTACTGACAAATGTCTTAGAGAGACAAAAGGTCGAAAGCATCCGAGAGTTGACCCAGCGGTTGTCACAAAACTTCGTAAGTTTTTCGTCCAGCACAATCAAAGGTTTTATGATCTTGTCGGTGAAGATCTCGGATGGCCTGAAGATTAAAATACTGTAATGTAAATTATAACTATGTGATCAAAATACATATCAATGTTATATACGAGTACATATCAAAACATATCATTAGTTTAAGATTTTTAAATGATTATACATACATTTACGAATAGATTAAGCACTTGGATTATTTATTTATAGTGAAAATGAATTTAAATATATCTACTTAATTATGTATTTAAGAAATAGATATTTACTACCGCTTATTTGTAGTTGTGTTATTAAGTAAGATTTTTTTTTTATTTTTTTTTATTAATAAATAATAAAGATAGATGTTTAGTTGTTAGCATTTTTAAATTATTTATTTTCGGCAGCGTGTAAGAAAGGGATCAAGTGTTTTAAGAACGGAAAGCGAGAGTTGGATTTACCTTAGTAGTATTATTTGTTATATATGCAGCCTTATAATAGAAATAATCTACAAGCATTTACAGTAAAGTACTGATTTGATAAACCGACCCACTGGAACCCTGAGCAATATATTTTTATACATTATTATTAAGTGTGCAATCTTATACAATGTTGGTTAGATATACAGAGTATGAATGTACCTGTGTGTGATCATTTCATTATTAGAAACGATTAATTTTTATTAATATAAGATAATATAGTAATTTTAAAATAATATTAAAATGAATTAAGCGGCGTATATTTTCGCTTTCTACTATAGATGTTGTAAATCGTGTTGTGTGTTTGTCTCTGTGTTATTAAATGTGACTTTTCTCTATCTTAGAAAACGTTTCATTATGTCCAAAATTCAATACTTGATCGATATTTAAATGTAAGTTATTACTTTGTTAAACTATCTTCATTAGACCAAATGTATAAGCAATTGTAGAGTTCGAAAAAACAATTTTTTTCTGAGTGTTTTATAATTCTTTGAAATATCTTCTTTACTTACATTTGTGTGAATGTTGTGATTCAAACAGTAAAATCAAATAACAAAAATTAAAAAGTCACTAAGTTTATTATAAACGTTAGTTTCCACTGCTCAAAAACAAGTAGAAAATATTATATCAATCTACACATCTAGCTCTGTTTTTCAACAGAATGAAAAGGATGGAAATATTTTTTTGGTACAAGTTTTTACGCAGTGTAAACTAACGTTATATAACACATTTTTTAAATGATATTCGACGCGGGTTTTAGAAATATTCTATTTAAGTGTAACGTCCAAGACTGAAGAGCTAGGTGAATAAGTCTAAGTAATACCTATTTAGCATAAAATGTCCATAGGTAATACGGTAGACGATCGAAACGAAGCGCTCAGAAGTAAATCACCACGGAGGCATTTTGGTATCTTCGTATTTTTTTTTCCCAAATTAATAGCTTCCAAATCCAATTCAGAATCAACGAATATTTACATGTTTTTTGTATTTCGAAATTATTAAAAAAAATCATATAATAAGCACGTGCACACAACATATAAGATATTATAATTGTGATTATCAAATTGTGTGATGAATTGTACCTATATAAAGTTAAAATCCAATTTATTTGGAAAGATGTTTAGAATTATGCTGAAGTATATGTGATACGTCACCCCAAACTTAGGGGAGGCTCCGAGCACCTCGGTGGAGACGTATAGTGAGCTGGTGTGATGATATGTCACAACATAATAAAAGTTAATATTAAAAAAAGTCGACTAATTGGATGAAAATTAATTTTATTTAAATCGTATCAGCGCATGGAGTTTAGTCAAAAGGAGAGTATCCTAGAACAGACGTGTATTCATGGAATCGCATGAAAACAAAACGAAAAATGGATTTAAGGTACTCAAAAATAACTATCTATATTTATATAGTACTAAATATTTATCATAACTAAGGGTGAAAATACACGGACGGGCTCTGTACGCATCACTTTACGTCGTCTCCGATGATTATGTCCTGCGTAGCGTCTCGTACGTTATTCCGAGTTGATGTTTGGATAAAATTGTATTAGATCCAGTAAATTACTTTTTAAATTATTTGTCAATACTTCAGCAAGTTGTAAACAGAAGAATATCAAGCATATCAAATTTATCAATTAATTATTATAAATTAAATGTTAAGTTTTTAGTAGATTAAATTAGATGTTTACATTTATTAAGTCAATCTTTTTAATATTAAGATTATTTTGTTTAGTGCTAATTCACTAGTTAATAGATAATTTTAATCACTGTTAAATGTTGTGCACTTTCATTAAACTTAGTTAAATTTCGTATTAGGGCAATAATTTTGTATCAAAAGAGTTATTTAAAGTTATAATTTTAAAAAAAATTAGTTAATGTACTATAATCGACAAGTCTTGTGGTGTTATAGTTTCTTGATCTCTATATAATACTTTTGCATTGTTATTACAATCATTTTAATATTTGTTAATTAAGGGTTGATATACACCGACTATATTAAACAGACGTTATCTTAAGCAGCAACTGTGAGCTGCGGCTGTGAATAGCGAACTTGTCGTGTCGTACTGATACTCTGCTTGAAGTTGTCCGTGTATATTCTCCCTTACCTTTATAAAGTTTAATTAATAATTTTAAAGTTTTACGTATGCCTATTTGATATAAACATATCTGTAAATATCTTCTTAAACTTTCTTTACTTGTGTAAATTGTACGTCTTCAATAAACATTTAAACTATTTAAAGCAGTGTTTTATTTTAGTAATTATAGTCTTTGCAGTAACAATTTTAACACGCAAATATTGGATTGCGAATTAAAAAAAAAAACGTCGAGCAAAAAAAAGAAGTGTCTTAGTTCAAACCATTAGATATTTTTTAACATAACTATATATAAAAGAAAGTCGTGTTAATTACACTATTTATAACTCAAAAACGGCTATACAGATATGGTTAAAAATTGGTGAGGAGGTAGCTTAGAGCCAGGAGACGGATATAAGATACTATTTATTCTTTTTTTTTCGAATTTATGCCTCGAAGAGCTGCTTTTTATTTAACTTATCTATATTTTAAGTTTTTTTATATGTCAACGCGGACGGAGTCGCGGCCGACACCTAGTATTTTTTTCAAATAAAGTTTGTTAATTATGAGTCATCATTTTCTTTGCTTTAAAATAATATAACAAAAAAAGAAAAATCTTGTCTTCCCTAAATGCGGATAATAGAAAGTGAAATAGGCTCACAACGAACTCCACGCCATTTACCATGACTTCATTATTAATGTAACGACCAAGTGAAAAGGAATAACTAAATTATGCAAAATGTCAAGTGATTTGAAATGTATAACACAAAAGGAGAATTTTTAAATGTTTAAGAAGTTTGAGCCCCAGCTTGAAGTTATAATTTGAACAACGAAGTAATAAAATTGAAGTATGTATTCTTGTTTTTTTAGTAATTTTATTTAATATGAACTTACCAGAGAATTATTAATATTAACTAAATTTTCAATGAAGGCAATAGAAAATTTTAAGTACTTAAAAATAATTCTTATTAGTATAGTACTATTAGGAAGAAAATCCGAAAATTTGGCAGTGTATTGACCCAACACTGGCCTTACTGTCGACGTTTGTGTCCCCTCACTATTCACTCTGACACTGGACTTTGTAATGATAGCACTTCGATCGCGCTAAGTGATTCGAACTAATAATGTCTATGAGTACAAAGTAAATTAAGATTTTATTATATACCAATACGATGTGCAGTAGAGAAAATTTGAACCCTTACCCATTTCAATAAAAATTTTAACAGTGCAAACTTATCATATACATATGTACATACTAAGTTACAGATGTAATGATGACGCTATGCTGCATTATATTCGATCCTAAGTGGGTAGCAAATTTATTTCTCTAACTGCACAATATGAAATCAGGATAAACGTTTTCAAGAGGAAATCTTTCTCTGTATGTATTTGATCTTAACATCAAACCAAGATCTACAGATGACATCTTCTTGACCCACTTACAGTAATCCTAATAAGGTAAGTAGCTTCAGAAAACGACCTTAAATGTTATAAAAATGTCGTTTAAAAAAACATTAAGAAGCTTATGTTCCGGAGTCTTCCTGTTATTTTAGGTTGTATCTTTAAGAGATTTTTACAAGACGACCTTTTACAATAACCTCACCCAACGTTAATGGATATTTTTATTAGCTGTCATGGCTCGTAAAGTGATACATTTTAATATTGAAAATTCGCTTGACACAATTAAATTTTTTTTGTAGTCTGTATTTCTAAATGGATATAATCGTTTCTATCCAAATTTTATTTACGTATTCTAGTCGCTAAAATATCCTTAGACAACAGTGTAAGTGTTTTGTTTATTCGATATCATAACAATTTTTTTCTACTGCAACAGTTTAGAATCTACAGTAATCGACAGCGCTAAAGTATGTGGCAAACAGTCACGACACCGGAACCATAGTGGAGTGTAAAGCCTCTTTAACCATGCATTAAAATATTAGGGTATCAGCAAAACTTCGCTTTACGTTCGCTTTGCAGCTGTGTACTACAGACTTTACTAATTGCAATTCATGTAACGTTAACAAGGGTGGTACAGTCGCGCTCGTTATCGGTGCCCTGCTACGAATCATTTCACTGCAAGCGATGAGCCCGCACTACACGGAACCCTTTCAATTTTACAGTAAACCGCTATCATGTCAATTGACTATCTACTAATAGATTAATTTTTGTGTATATTTACATTTTTTTAACAAAGAAATAATTGAAGTATTTACGACAATTTTATTGATTAAGAATACAACATACTGTCGAAAATTGAATGAATAATATAGGTAATTAAACTAAAATAACTTGCAGTAAAAAATCCTTGATTAAATTTGCAGAAAGTGTTCAAACCAATTATTTTTTTCTTTGTACTTAATACTTAAGTACTTAATAATTAAGATTTTAAAAGTCGTTAAATAAGACAAAGAACACTTGAAACGAAAACATAAGTTTAGCTGTTATTTCCGTAACCAATTTTAATAGCATCTGTTCCTGGCAGACTTTGTGTCTCGGACGACGGCCAACTTATACAATATTTTGTTGAA